TAGAAGAAGTCAGAAAACCTCCAGTGCAGTCTGCCATTCCTTGAAGGGGAGAAGCAACTCAACTAAAGTCCTCTCAGGAGCCAAGTGAGAGAAGTCAATTCTGACTCGTGCTAATCAGGGAGAGGAAGTCATCTGTCTGCATCTGGTCACTTCCCTGCTCACATGGCAGAGTCCCGTAACGGCTCCATAAGAAGATTTGTGATGAACAAATGTCAAGGGCAATTAATTCTTTGCCAGGCAGCTGTTATTATTAGGACCAAGAGTGGCCAGACATAGAAGGAAAGCCTTCAGCTGATTTATTTTCCCTACCGTTTCCATCAAAATCGATAAGTCACTCAAACCCCAGTGGTGAACTTTTATGCAATAAGAATTTTTTTTTAGTAGCAGACCTTGTATTAGGTTTAGAGCACAGAGGAGTAGCTCAGAGAAAATGTTTGGAAAGTCTTCAGGCCTTTAATGCTATCAGGAAAGAGCGGAGTTGTGTGTTAAGCTGGTAACATCATAATATGTGGGCTGAGTTAAGCCCACTTCAGACTGTTTTTCTCAAACTTAATTGATGGAAACGGCCCACTTTTAGGCTTGATTTATTACCTTAGCAGAGTTATTCCCGGGTTGCTGCACTGGAACTGTGGGTGTTCTAAACACACCCACGCCGCCAGAGAATCAGGAAGGATGTATTTAAAATCCCCTAATTTATCTAACAACATCTTTAGCAGGTTTTTTGTGGAGGTTCAGTATTGTGATGGAAATGCACTCTCTGGCTAGATAAAGAGCTCCTGTGTGAAACTGCTGGCACTGGCTGTAGGGACGTGTAAGCAGCGTTTGGAGCTGATGGGGGAAGTACTCTGACCAGCCATTTACGCTGCAAAGGCACCGGTCAGATTTGGTAATCTGCCACTATGGTGAAATAATACGTACCATTTCAGATACGAATGTTCATGACTCTGGGTCCTCGTAGATATGGCCTTCCCAGCCCGGGCAGAGCCCAGGTTCCTCATGCCCGGGGCTGGTTTTTCTCTGCTGTTTAGGTCCCGAGTCTCTACTTCAGCAACTGTCGTTGCCTCGGTTCCTAACCGGGCGCCCTCTTTGCCCATCAGTGATCATTCCCGAGGGGTTGTTTATAGGGGACACAGACCAGGTTTGGTTTTCCTCCGTTTCAGCACTGAGCTGCTGAGGGTCTGCCTTAGGCTGGGAAACAAGCTGAGGTTCCCGCTTTGTGCCTGAAGCGGGCTCTGTCTGGCTTGTGTTTGTCAGTGCTTCCAGCGTGGGTTCCTCCGCCGAACTTCAGAAGCAGGTTCCTCCTGCTCTTCCTCTGCGTTCTGTCAGAGCGCTGTTCTCACGGTGTTGCGCACTGCTGGCGTAATTGTTCCATCCCAGCCGTCGCAATCTCTCGCTTTCCTTGTGACGTGGAAGCTGCACGTAACATGAACAGTAACCCGTGTCGCCGCTCTGGAGTATTGGAGCTAATAATAGAAACGAAACCCTGTGCTTTGGGAGCTAAATAAGGGCGGATGAGACAGGACAGAAAATCAGCTTCTACACGCACCAGAAGTAAAGGAGGTCCCGGTGTGCTTTCCTCTTGCTGATGACTCTTACCAGCGGGCATTGCTGAATGTGAATAGGATCAGGGTTCCTGTGTTGTGCTGGGAAGAGCCGGCCCTAAGACCGATGATTTCCTCCAGCAGACGTGCCTCATTAGCACGCACGTTGCTGAGGCTTGGCGGTGCTGCGTGCGCAGAATGCTCGGCGGCTAATTGTAGGAAACCCTCTTACTGATGTTGCAGGAACGCGGTTCCAGTGGCTTTTTGCGTAACTTCAAGGGTCAGAGCTTGACTCACGACAACGTGTCACTTGGACAAAGCTGTTTGTTGCTAATCTTAGCTTTAAATAATGTATAGATATGTTGAATAGTAAATAATGAGGGTCGGAGAACTTGTTTTGTGAATATGGTCTAAATCTGTTATGTAATCTTACTGTTTGTAGCGGCCTTTGGTATCAAGAATCTGGAAAACCTTATGGTAAAATGGCTTTTCAAAAAAACGCAGCTGCAGCGAGCCTGATTTTTCTCTGGCATTCGGTTGTCGCTGCCGAAGCTGCGGCGTGGGGTGGGCCCGTTGGGGATGGCAGTTGGCTTTCCTGGGCACTGAACCAGATGTGAACGTAAGTGACGGTTGCCATGTGCTCCTCGGGCTCCAGAACGAGGTCTGACAAGTCCGGTTTCGTGTGTAGAAGTCTTTCCGCTCTGGATCCGGTTGGACTGATGCTCCTAGGCTACTGCCCCCTCTCCAGCCGTTGGAAAAGCACGCAGACAGATATACGGGGGCTAAGCAGAGGAAAGAGGTTAGGGAGGTGCACGTGCTCGTTACCTGCTCCCTGGACTAGCTGACGCAGAACTCTGTTATGGGTGGGTGCTCTCTGAGACACAGACTAGCTCGTATGGCTCTGTGTGGTCCTGCAGTGGTCTTATGCAGGACATTGTCACCCCGATGGTAACCATGGAAACTGGAAGTTTCAGGCTGTGTCAGCAAGAGACACCTGGAGAAGTTAAGGCAGGCCAATGGGACATACATATGCATACATTAGAGGTATTAAACTCTTTGTGAATGAGAGAATGTACATTAAAGTGGCCTTGGCTTGCTATAGATTAATTAACCTTGGGAGGTATCAGGATTAATTAAGCTACAGTGAGTTAAAGCCACTTTACTCTTGATAGACGTAATTCATAATTTAGCTTTTTAACCTCATGCACATCAACTTCATACCCCTGTGGGTTTGCCTTAACTTTCCCTTGGTAAGGTTTCGGACGCTCTGAAAATTGAGGACTTCCCTTATGCTTGGAATCCTGACTCCAGTTCTTAGGAGGAACTGGACAGAATGGGCTTACGGTGAAAGTGTCTAACGCACACGTAGGAAACGTGTGCTGGGCAGGGGCTGCGTGACAGACTCCGCAGGGGGACTCACGTCTAGATTTGAAAAGCATGGAAACAGGTTACAACATGGGACATTGTAACTTGAGAGGGAACATGAGAGTGAAGCGCTCGGACTAAAATCTGTATCGTGAGTTTGGGGTCCTGCTGCAGGGTTGAGGTGCTGTCTAGAAGAAGAGCCTCAAGTTTCACAAGTCTTGGTTCACATTCCTGTTTGTTTATAGAAAATCATTGTTATATATTTCTCTGACTGTATGTTACCTTGCCAAATCATATGGAAATATCTTCTTCTGGCTTTGTGTTTTGTTTCTTTTCCAGTAATTGCCCTTCGTTTTTGGCTGCTGCCTTAGCTAGAGCAACCTCAGACGAAGTCCTTCAGAGCGACCTCTCGGCACACTACCTACCAAAGCACGCGGACAGCGCGGATGGGATCATACGTAAGTGCAGCCGCGCGTGACCGTTCACAGTTTGCGTGATGTGGATCGTGCGTTTCCCTGCAGGCTGGAACACTCTGCAGATAATTCGTATTTTAAGGTCGGCATTGGCTTCCGTGATCCATCTGGTCTGACTACTTGAATGGTACTGGAAATCCCTCAGCTTAGTTCCTTCTACCAGCTACACAAGGTTGGAGGAGGTTTCTAGTGAAGGAACATCCCGTATTGATGTAAAAAGGTTAATGGAGAACTCGCCACCACTCCTGGTAGAGCTCATGGCTGATTTCTTAGGCAGAACTTGCTCATCATTGAATCTTGTCTGCTTTCAACTTCAACTATTGCATTCTTTCTCTGTTTTAAATGCCTTCCTCTGGTTGTACTTGAGTCTTTTATCAATTTTTTCTCCTTAAGACCAGGCGGAAAACATTCCTTTCACTGATTCTGGTGGCCCTGAACTTCCCTGTAAGCACTTCAGACTGTGCTGTGCTGCTGCTTGCTGGCAAGTGCTGGTTGTCCTCCTTCATCCTGAGAGCAAAGTCAAGTATCTGTGGGAATAGAGAATTTAATTCTGAATTACTTCAGTCGATACAGTTTTTACGATGGTTTTTTATTCTTTTTAAAGTTTGGCATTAGCAAAGGCTGGTACAAAGGTAGTTTGTGGTTGAGAGGAAAATTTCCTTTTCTCCATTCATCTGCGTTGGTGAACAAGACTTCTGCAGCATCCAGCTCAAAGCCATGCACCCTAAATAGTTTCAGGATTTTGCTGACCTAAAGAGCCTTGAAAAACACTCTGGGGTGATCACTGCAATGAAGAACAATGTTTCATCCGTGTATTGAGAGGGATTCTGTCATTTGATCTTGACCATACAGTCAGCAAACCACTTTGCCCATTCCCTCCTTTTCTGATTAAAAAAAGAGTAAATTATTTTGGGGATAAGTAGGAGATATCAATCTGTCTCTTCAAAAAGGAAGATTCTGGAGTGTTTCTCAGAGGCCTTTGGAAACCTGAGAAAAACATGTCTTGGGTTCCCTTTTTGTAGGTATTGCTGCCTCCTCCTGCTGAGCAGGTAAATGGAATAGATTTGTCATTGTTCTGGCTGAGCAGCCTTCATTAATTTCAAATTGAGATCTCTGAGACTTGCATAAATATTTGACAGTCTCCAAGGAAATGTTGACTAAGCCTCCATGCAGAATATCTAGAGAGTTCAGCAAAAAAAAGAAAAAAAGAGAGACACAAAATCCTTACACCCACAGAAATTGCCATTTAAATGTATCTAAATCTGTCCTACAGAGATGCAGACATAGATTGGTACGTGTACGGGCTACAGCAGGCACTCAAAATATGACTCCAGATGCAGTGTGTTGAGGTGAATTGTTGTAATAAAGGTACTTGAAAACAAAATACACCTTTACAGATGCAGTGTGAAGCGTTCAGGTATGGAGAGGAAGAGAGAGACCAGCATCCGGGCCAGAGTACAGCAATGGTTTCATACGATTACTGCCATTTCAAATAATGCACCATAAATGATAATTTTTGAAAGAGAGCGTTAGCTCAAGTGAGGCAAGGTTTGGCCAAGAGAACCATAAAAAACGGGCACTAAAGGGCATTTCATTGCAAAAGGTCAATAACTCCATAGTAGGAGCCCGTTGAGAAAGCCGGGCTGGTTACTCAGGAGAGAGCTGTGGCTGACGAGTGCCCGAACTGGTACTGTGCTGGGGGACTCTCATGCTTTGAAAGAAACCACAGGGAGCTGTAGCAGGTAACGAAGGTGGGATTTCTACATCTTGCAGTTTTGTGCTCAGAGTTCACTGCTTATCCTAATGGAGTGTGGACCGCTGCAGACTGCAACACCAAGCCGGATTTAGCTGCCTGGGTTTGATGTCCAGGTCTATGTCAGTTTTTCTGATGAACCCAGGAAGCTTTTTACTCTGTACAGTATAAGGAGATAGTTACCTGATTTGCCTCAAGTTTGAATTTGCTGGAAGAAAACAATAATTCCAATTTCCATAGTGATACATTTCAGTCTGCGCAGTGCAACATGACATGGTATTGCATGCTTAGGACTGGTAATAGCAGTTCTCAGTGTGCTGCTGGAAAGGAGATGGGAAGCTTGCTGGAAGAAGAATGCTAATCTTAAAAGAAGGAGAACTGTTTTGAGCCCACGAACGTAGGAATGCAAGAATACGGGCACAGAACGTTCGGGGTGACCACGTGTCTTTGGATATCGAGAGCAGAATGTGGCAGTTGTAGGCCGTCACTTACTCTTCTCTCCCAGTGGAACTGGAGAGGAGCAAGAAAGCTTCCATGAGAACTGGAAGATGTTAGATTTCCCTTTGAAAGGTCAGGTCAGGAGCATTCCGTTTGCTTTTTCATGGAGGAGGATATTCACGTGGGGTTCAGCGTTGTTAACGAACCACCCAGGGGAGCTGGACAGTAGGACCACGTCACGCGGCGGAGGTACCTCAAGCAGCAGCCGCCCAAAGCAAAGCGCAAAGTCCCGCTACCCAGCCTGTCTGTGCAGGGCCAGGAACCTTTGCAGGTTCTTGGATCGAGGAAAACCTTGGTCGTGGGCTGGGTGACATGTCTACAAACCCCAGTACTGATATCCCTGTTGTCCCCCTGTCCACATTTTCAAGAAAGGTCTTAAAATTTAGGTACTAAAAAGCAGAATCTGGTGACTGGTATTCTTTCTACCCTGATTTTGCCCTAAAGGAAGTCAGTTGTCTTTGGGAATGATAATGCCTGAGCTGGATTTCCCACTAGCTGTGGGATGGTTAAGTGCTACTTCCAGCGCTGGGGATTTTGGAGCAGCAGGGGGGAAATGAGATTCTCCATGACACAGCCACAATGGCAGCTGAGTCAGATCTGGCTCAGCGCTGCAACGCGAACAATTGATGAGTAATTTACAGCTGTGAGGGGGCGGTTTGACTGCTGCGGGCCTTTCTCCCGTGTTAACCTCGAGCTGTTACTGATGGTGCTGACACTGTGCACCCTCCCTGCTGGGGAAGGGGCTCAGTATCTCGGCACAGCAGTGGGTTTACTCCATCCCTCCTCCCGAGTGATGCTCTGAAGTGTAACGGCCACGTGACATTGAAGCATACACCGCTCCCTTGGGGCATAGCCACCGGAAAAACGTGGGAGAGCAAGGCTGTGGGGTTCACTTCCAGAAAATGTAATTTGGACACATCAGGCCCTATGTGTTCCCTCTTAAATGTATCACCCAGCACCGAGGTTTCTGGCGGCACCGGTGGGAGCAGTGGAAGTGGCGTGGGGGAACTGGTACCACTGCTGTGGCAGTGCTGGGACAACCCAATCATTTGATTTCCACCACTTTTCAAAGCGGTGTGATGGGGAAGTCGGGCTCCTTCGGGTTGTGTTTATGGCTTGTTTCCAGCGCAGAGCTGCTCTTGCACCAAGTCGCAGTCAGCAGAGCTGGGAATGTATCTCACTCCTAAGGATCTTGGCCCCCTGCTCACTATAGGCCACATCTTGTGTGGACCTCACACGGAAATTGGTCGGTTTAGGTTCTTTCAGGTTCTTCACAGAATGTCTGTGATCTGAGAGATGCTGTAACCCTCCTCGCTGCTCCCCGTATTTGGGCCGTTCCTGCTCCAGGAATGATTGACACTCACGGGCTGCTGCTGTTGAGCTTTGGAGATCTCTGGCTATGGTGAATGATCCTGAACAAGGAGATTTTGATGTCTTCAGCTCGGATTCGCTTTTCCTTCCCTGAACTGGAAAATGATTGACAAATGCCTGAGTTTTCACATTTTAAAATTAATATTGCTCAGGAGTGACAGTTCAGCATTTCCTTAAATTTCAGACCTTTATGGTTTTCTCATTTGCTCAAGCAGATTTCTCTGACGCTCCATCTAGTCAGGAATCTGGAAATAAGGTTATGAAACTCAGGCGGTACCGGATGAAGATGTTCAGGACCGCGCGTGCACTCCAGCACAGCATCTTGAAGCGACCCTGTTAATTCCTGTAGGCTATTTGCGCCTGTATTGCCCCAGTGCTGTGGTGAGGTGGTGTTTGGAACAGCTTGTTTGATCTAAAACCACGTGTCACCGTAATGGATCATGGGTTTTGCGTGTGATACGCCATGGTGAAGTCCCTCTCAGCGCGGCCGTGGCCCAGCTGCACCACCCCGTGCCGAGCGACGCGGGATCAAACGCTGAGGGGAACTTGCTCTTCGTTTTCCCCGAGGCTGCAGATGAGTTCCCCAAAGGCATGGGGGGAATGTTTAAGTTAAAAAGGCAAACAAACAATGAGCTGCTTAATGATGAATGCTGATTATGGTGAGTTTGGCTTCCTCTTTTTATGCATCAGAGCCCAGAATTTCCCTACTGACATCTATTTCCAGTGCTTGGCTAAAATGGTTTTGTTTCATCTCTGTAATGTATGCGGGAGAAAAATGTTCCCTTAATAACATTCTTAGCCTTTCTTTTGTGGTTTCTGCCTTCCCCAGAGATAGAGACAGTGAAGCTGGCCCGCCTAGTTTTTAGCAAACTGCATGAGATCTGCAGCAACTGGGTGAAAGACTTTCCACTCCAGCCAAAGCCCCACCGCTACTATGAGACGTCCATCCACGCCATCAAGAATATGCGCAGGAAGATGGAAGACAAGCACGTCTGCATCCCAGACTTCAACATGCTCTTCAACCTGGAGGTAAAAGGATCATGTGGAAGACAAATTAAGATAATAAATAGGGTTTCCATTCCTGGGAAAACTAGGCCGTCTTCTAGCAGGAAAATGAAAGTCGTGCCGGAGGGACCTGGGGACAGTTGACAGTCCAGAGGCCAACCTGGTCTTAAGTTGGTTGGGTTAGTGTAACCGCCGCGGCACTGCGACACGCGGCTGCTGCGCAGGGTGGATAGAAGAAAAGAGCAGTTTTCACAGACTTGGGGTGAAATGTCCTCTGACTGAACTGAATTTGTATCTGGCCCAACCTGATGTCGCCGCTCAAGCAGTGGCTGAAGGACTGAGCTGCCACCCTGCAGGAAGCAGCCCTACTCCTGGGGGGGCAAGTGATGCATTGTGGTACCATGGGATAAATTGAGGTAGGAGCCTCTCTGGCTGAAGATGCCCAGCGTAGGAGAGGATGGCCAGGGAAGTGAGGAAGTGGTTCAGCCTACAGTTCATCGCTGGTGCCAATTGTCTACAAGGGTGGGTCTGTGCTGCTTTTCAACCCTTCCTCTTGGGAGGAAGAAGCCAAGAGCAAGAATAAGGAACAAAAGTTTAAAAAAACCCACAAAAACACAAAGGAAAAACAACATCCAAACACTTAGAGGAGGATGAGGAGCAGTTTACACAAGAATCTAGCAACAGGAGTAGTTTGGTGGAACTGGGGCTGGCCCCAGTTAATTTCTGGCCCATTCATTTCTTTACGTGGCCATTGGTCAAACTCGTGCTTGCTTTTCCCTCGGATATAAAACTGGACACTGAAGAATGGCAAATAGAAGAAAGTGGGAAGAATTTTACCTTTAGGATCAGATTGCTGCTTAATTGATTCTTTATTGCATCCTGTCACTTTAATAACCACCTTCTGCCCCATCCACGTTCTTGCCTTTAAATGATACCAACACGAACAGAGGCAGATGTTTCCTTTGCCTGTCAATTCTCAGCTTTCTTATTCCAATTTGTGTTGGAGCCCATTACTTCGAAATTACAATGCACAAATATTCAAGTCGTTGAGACGGCTGTCAAGGTTGAGTTGGCACTGACAGTGGGTTGGTGTGTTCTACGTGTGAATAGGCACCGGAGTTGATGTCTCCCAGTGCAGCATTGTTTCTGTTTGAACAGATAGGGGAAAGCTGAGAAAACGGATTTGGAGATGAGTGGTTTTGCTGTATTTGGGTTGTGAACGTAATCACAATTATCTGATGAGAGAGTACGTACAGGGTTTTTTAAAACTCCCAGGCATCTAAGGTGGTAAGGATTAGATTTAACATAAAAGATGAAAGCAGAGGCTGGCTGGCTTCACATTTTAACTGTACGGGCATTTTATCCCTGGTAGATTCCAGTCTTGACTGTACAGGATGTTGTGTTCCCTGTGGTTTCTGCCGTCACAAAAACTCCTGCACGACTTGAGGAGCATGGCACTTCCTGTTTGAGCCGAGTGCCTGAACGGCAACAACAGCAGGGAAGGAGCACAGGGAGCTACGCGGGTGGTTCTTGCGGGGCATCGCTGGCAGTTTGCGGGGAGAATTCGTGGCAATAAGGGGGAAATTTCCCACTGATGCAGGTGAAGGTGGTCCGAGTAGTTTGTTTTTCCAGTGGAGACTCTGCCTCTACGTGCAGTTTAATGAGGACAGCACAGATCTCGGAGTTCTAAGACACCTGAATTTGTTCTTTGCACTGCTTTCTCCTGAGCTGCTTTCTCAATGTGTTTCCATCGGCAGGACCAAGAAGAGCAAGCTTATTTTGCAGTGTTTGATGGCCATGGGGGAGTGGACGCTGCCATCTATGCCTCCATCCATCTCCACGTGAACATGGTGCATCAGGAGATGTTTCAGCATGACCCCGCAGAGGCCCTGTGCCGAGCTTTCCGCGTGACCGACGAGCGCTTTGTCCAGAAGGCAGCCAGAGAGGTGACTGAGTTCCCTGGGCTTGGCTCTGAAAGGACCAGTCTGTAGATTCTGTCTTCCTTAGCAGGGGAGCTCCAAGACCTGTGCTGAGCATGGGCTGGGGTCAGCACGGAGCTGTCCATGCACCGTCCATAGCGCCGGGGCCCGCTCGTGGGCTCCTTCGTGTTCCCTAGAGATGTCAGCCTCCCCCTCTCACCACATCCAGTTCACTCAGCAGGATGCTGCTGCTGTCCTTACGTTCACACGCTAACTAGGTTTAGTCCTTGGGGTGGGGTTTTTTCATCTCTGCGGTGCTTATTAGCTCCAGAAAGTAAGAATAAATGGGTAACTGACTCCTGGGTCTCCTGAACTCAGCAAGGGCTGAGGTCAGTGCAGGCAACTCAGGATACTCACAAACCTCCTTCCCTCCAGGCTCCCTGACAGGCATGTGTTTCGATCACCGGGCAGGGAGCAGGCCCGGGAAGTCGGCTAAGCCTGCAGCGCAGATCGCTCGCAGAGCCCAGCATCAGACACGCAGTTCCGATGCCAGGGAAGTCCCGGGGCGGTGGCGTTCAGCTGGGTCGGCTCCAAGGGGCTGTCACTGAACACTCCTAGCAGTAAGGGAAACACTGCCTGTCCCTCCCTGCGAACAGGCTGCCTGTTGGAGTACCAACGCGTCCTGCCCGGGAGTTAAGCAGGAAAACACCTTGAAATGGTTCTTACTGGCTTATGTAAAACCAGGGGCATTTTTTTTCCACCCTGTCCAGAGTCTGCGTTGCGGAACCACTGGGGTGGTGACTTTCATCCGAGGAAATATGCTGCACGTGGCTTGGCTTGGGGACTCCCAGGTTATGCTCGTGAGGAGAGGCCAAGCAGTGGAACTGATGAAACCCCACAAACCAGATCGAGAGGTGAGAATGGGCTGTTTCCAACGCACCAGGCAGCGCCGGCCCCGCAGCTGCCGGGTATCAGCTTTCCGTGGGCTGCGTCTCTTGGGGCGACAGCTGGTGGTCCTGGTTTGTTTGGAAGCTGGTGAGGGTTTGTACACCCCCCCGTTGTTCTCACCTGGTGGGGCCTGCGGCTGCAGCGTGCCGTGTTTGGGAGAACACGGGGTGTGTGCTGAGGGGTGGTGGCTGAAGGCAGCGCTCAGGCTGAATGACTCGTGTTGTCCTGTTCAGGATGAGAAGAAGCGCATCGAGGCACTTGGTGGCTGCGTGGTCTGGTTTGGAGCCTGGAGGGTGAACGGGAGCCTGTCAGTCTCCAGGGCTATCGGTAAGAATGGGCTGCTTTTCCTTTTTCAGACTTGCTTTTCCTTTCAATTCAAGCTTTCATTTCCTAGAGATCAGAATTTGCAATGCAGCTGAAGAGAGAACCGTGAGTGACGACCTCTGGTTTTCTCTCTGCTGTTTGAGGGAATAACTTCCAAATAATTTCCTGATCTCAGGACAAGAGTCGTTGGCTCCGTGCTGCGTTAACAGAAGGGCTTGCCGATGCCGTGGGTGCAAACCCACCGTCTGGTGTATCTGTGTGTTGTTTTTCCCCAGGGGATGCCGAGCACAAGCCATACATCTGTGGGGATGCAGACTCTGCCTCCACTGAACTAGATGGCTCGGAAGACTACCTCATTTTAGCCTGCGATGGCTTCTATGACACAGTCAATCCCGACGAGGCAGTCAAAGTGGTGGCTGACCATCTGAAGGAGAATAACGGCGACAGCAGCATGGTAGCACATAAATTAGTGGCGTCTGCTCGGGATGCCGGTTCCAGCGACAACATCACTGTCATTGTGGTATTTCTCAGGGACATGAACGCAGCAGTCAACGTGAGCGAGGAGTCGGACTGGACAGAGAACTCTTTTCAAGGTGGGCAAGAAGACAGTGGGGAAGACAAGGAAAACCACGGAGACTGCAAACGACCGTGGCCCCAGCACCAGTGCTCAGCACCTGCAGACCTAGGGTATGACGGACGAGTGGATTCCTTCACCGACAGAACTAGCTTAAGCATAGGGTCCAGCGTTAACCTCTTTGATGATCAAGGCTACTTAGACCTGACAAAACCAGAAACTAGTACACCTCAGAGTGCCAGAAGTCTGCCGCCCGTTCAAGCGTTTAGTCCCGGCATACCAAAGAGCGTGGATTTGATCGACGGCCTAGGAGTGAAGAAGGAGTCACCGGAGTGCACCACGTCATCGATCTGCGGACAGAGCGGTCCCCGGGAGTGCGACCCTCCTCTTCGCTTGGGTGCTGCAGGGCAGAGCGTCTGCAGGGTGAAGGGTTTATCCCCCGTCTTCTTTGGGCTGGAAGATGAACTGTTCGCATCCTTGGGAAAACGAGCTGCGTTCTTTCGCTCCCCGCTCTGTAACGGGAAGAGGCAACGAGGAGCCAGGCTCAAACCAAAGCTGCACACGCCGCTCTCGGCTCGTGAGCCTTCCCGTAGAGAAGGATCGAGTCTGTCCTTCCCGCTGCGGGGCCGCAGTAGCAGGAGGCTGTCGGTACGACCCTCGCCGTGGTGGAGGCCGCCTAGTCGTAGCGCTTACAGCGAGAGCATGTTATTGCTGCAAAGACAAAGTAGTTGTATACCAGATTCATACCTTCATCAATGCTGTAAAATGTAACCGTCTCCCTCGTGATCCCCTGTCAGGCTCCCAAAATAGACATTCCCAAAATAAACCTGGCATCATCAGAAAGCGAAAAAAAAGGTGGGCATTTCAGAACTGTACTCCAGTCCCCCGCAAAGCTCAAACCATGTGTAAATAGCTCTAGGAATTAACAAATGTAGTCGTTTCACTCCAGTTTGCTGGGGGTGCCACCCCGAGCAATGCCGCAGCCACCCACGAGCCACATTCACCAGGGAAAGCCGAGGAGCCGGTTGACGTGAGTCGCCGCGGGCAGGAAATCAGACGCCACAGAGAGCGGGCCCGCCCCAGGCGCGTCTGCGGAGCGATGCGGACAGCAAGGGTCTGGTGTAGAACTGCCACGTTTCTGTAGAACGGGGGGGAAGTTTCCGTAGAAGTCGAGGTGTGCGGGGCGCTTTTGTGTTCTGCTTTCCCTTTTTTTCAGGTGAGCGTTAGAATGACTTGGACAATTCCATCCACTTCTGCAGGTCAAAGACTAAAAGCCATACAGGGTTTTCCCAGGTAACTTAGGAATGGACAAACTCAGCTCCTGCTACGCTGTTCTCAGACTCCGACTGAGGTACAGACTCATAATTTACCTTTTTTTTTTTTTCATGTAACATAAAACGTGGAATATGAAGAAAACCGGTTTTTGTAGTTTTTAACAAATTATTTCCTATGGCTAGAGGGGCAGTGTAGGGGATTTCGTATCTTTCTGGTGCTTTTAGTGGCATTTTTCTCGTTTGTCAGTTTAGGAAACCATTCTCCATGAGTTTTAATTGAACATGACTGTGCTTAATGCTTTGAGCCAACCTCTTCCCACCGTAACGTCATCTCAGGTCTCAAAAGAAGCCGGTCCGTGGAGACGCTGGGCCGCTCCGCCACAAGCGGAGAAGTGCTTGCCAGAGCGTGAGCCATCGGGTGGGCCGTTTGGCTTCGGTCGTGATTTCTAGGTGGCAAAGGCATGACGGAACGTGAAGTCGCAGCGTTTGGATGGCAGGAGGCTGCGTCCGCGGGGAGCAGCGCTCCTGCAATCTGCTCTTTCCCAGCATGTGTGGGAACGGACGCGGGGCTGGAGCCATCCATGCGAGCGGAAGTGCTGGGGTGCGGGTGAGCAAGGGCTGTGCTTAGGGTGTAGAGGAGAGCGTAGAATTCGCTGAGGAGACAGAGCTCTCCCTCGGTTAACGCGGGGTTCAGAAGGGGAAGCGAGGGATGCCGGTTGCCCTTATTTCCCCGAGCAGAGCGTTAGTTCTCCAACTGGGCAACAAGCAGTGC